TTCATCCACTCATCCAACCATCTAACTATCAACTTACTGATCCATGTAACATCAACTTAGTCTATACTAAATGTCAGGCATTGTGCTAGGTACCAAAGAAATGAAATATATATTAGAAAATAGCCCTTGTCTTTGAGGAACTCTCAGTCAATTGGGGCAACAGATAAGACACTGCTCAATCATTTTATGAAGTATGTTCAGGTTGTTATTGAGAGAAAGGGAAAGAAGAAACCTTGGAGAGTTCAGCCCACAGCTTCTAGGCCCATTTCTTCGAGCTTTCCTGATGAGTTCTATGGCTCTTTGGCTGTTAAATCAATAGCTGCAAACTTGGAGCTAATTATTATCTTGGCTCTGGTTGATGACAAACTTGGCAGCAACCAGAGGGTTATCGTAGCCATGTTCTAATCTTCTGTCAGAACCAATCACAAATAAACTGTATTTTCTGGATGACTATATGAGTTCAGTATGCCTGCAGGGATCTTGTACCTTCAAAAACATACACAACAAACCATCCATTCATCCATTCATTTATCCAACCACCCATCATCCTTAAAACCTATGACAGATCAGCCTGGATAAAGCCCTGGGTACAAAGGCATGTGGGACCACAAGCCTGCTCTGACAAATGGATTAAGCAGTGTGTGAATCCAAAGTGAAGAAATCGTAACATACAAGAAAAGTTTATAGCCTCCTATCACTACCGTCCTGGTCTTCATCAACTGGCTGTAACCTCTCTTGGTCTTGTTTAGAAACTCTTCACCAAAAAAAAAAACAAAAAAACAAAAAAAAACAAAACAGGGAGGGCACTTAAAAATGGAGACTATTTAAGGCAAGTGCCTCTGACAGGGGGCACAGGAGATGGCAAAAATCCACCTGCACAGGCATGAGTGGAATTGGGTCTCTTGACGGGTCTACTCTATGCCCAGTGCCTCTGCAAATGCTCACTGGCAGCTGGACCACCATTTTGGGGCTGCGGTCCTGAAAGGCACATGGCCTCCCACAGTTGGAGTGGACCTTCATTGGATTATTCCTGGCACTGGTAGGGACTGGGAACACGACTCTCTTCTACTGTGCTGGTGGGAATGGAAGCTGGCACAACGTTGCCTGGGTGATGTGGCAACAGGTATCATACTTTCAAATATGCATAAGAAGCTCTGGTGGTACAGTGTCTAAGGCATT